CCGGACAAGTCGGCCGTAGCTGAACACAGCATCGATCTGGGACACCGAATTCAGCTTCAGGATACCTCCATCCTCGCCACCAAGACCCGCTATATGGATCGCATTATTAGGGAGGCTATTGAGATTCAACTGCATCCAGGAAATATGAACAGAGAGGGGTGGTTTTGTCTCAGCAAGTCTTGGAAACCTCTCATCTGTTCTCTTAAAAAACCCCCACCGGGATATGACGCCAGATCCAGGCCACACAGGCCATGACCAACCAACATAACAACCCCAACCCCTCAGCTCACAGCTGATGCCCAGCCTTCAACTTGCCATTCTCTCCCCTACACAAAAACCCTGCTTGTCCCAGCTCCCTTCCCCTTCCCCTCCCACACTACTGCTTTCACTTGTATACTTGCCCTTCCCCCTCCACCCTCAATGCTCACACATAGCTGGGTATTTTTCCCAGTCTGCTTTTACCGGTTCTCACGGTCTCTTTGCTTGCAGATTTCTTATATATTTTTTCTTCTACCCTGAAGATGGAGGCGATACGTTCCTCCGAAACGTCGGTTAACACCACATATACACGGTGCAAAATCCCAGAAGACTGCTTTCTTTATTGTAGAACAGTTTAACAAGTGGTTGTCTCTTCATATAATGACATCCCACACCGGTTTAGGGATCTGAACTACATGTTGGCTACGATGTAAGACTACCAACATGCTAATGTCGGTTTATTACGAAATTAAAAATTGCTATCCATCATACCATGCGCAGTTTTAGTTGTCAATACTGTAAAAACAGTAAAAATGGTCCAATAACGTGTTAGGAGTAGAGAATTTTGAAGAAGTTGTTGAGAATTGGCATATAAAGTGCTATCAGACTTTGTTTCAATAGTCGTTAACTTTTAAATATACATAAACTGTCAAAATAGGAAAAAATTGAAGCTGTGCATTGTTGATCATTGTAGTTAAATTCTTGGCATCCTAACCTCACAGTAAGTTATTAAATGCCATGTACTTATGATTAATGTTGAGAACGTTATAATTTAGAATGTAAGAAGCCAACAAAGCCTAGTATTGGGGAAGGTGTTAGTTAGGCAGTACTGAGTAAATTTCTTTCAAGATAATTCAGGGCATTTATGATCAGTGTTTTATGCCTATACCATGCAGCATAAAAGTATCATGTATTGTTTACTGCATATAAGGAATTGTAAAATTAATGAACACTCGAGAACGGAACACTTTTTTGACATATTCAAAGCTTATTGTTAGTTTCCAAGCGTTAAGAACGAAATTGCATTTAACTTCCTTTGTTTAAAGCAACAAAACACTGCAGTTTTGTTATCATAGTTTACAGATATGCCTCGACATCATGATGAGAAGTCCAGATGTGAATCAAGTCATTCTTCAAAATATGATCATTCCAAGGACAAAAGTAACCATGATAGAATCAAGTCAGACAGTAATAAGGACAAACATTCAAAACACCATAAAAGGAGCAGACATGAGTCTGACTCTAAATCAGATGACAGTACTGAAAAACAGAGGCTTAGAGATTTACAGGAAAGAGATGAACTTGCTGATCGTCTTAAAAAGAAAGCTAAAGAGAAGATATGAAATGTTGCTCAGCCATCAGGCCCTGGTGAGTATGTTCCCATTTAAACTGCCGCCTTCCCCTTCTTCTCTCAAATGCTACCCATTGCGAGAGCCATGAAGAGGGAGAGAGCGTCCATCATCGCTGGCTCTTTTGACGTGTTTGCATGCTCCCCAAGAAGGACATGGGGTATGAAAGCAGGTGGAGGAGCTACAGTAATTCGTTGGCCTCAGATAAAATTAAAGAGAATTTAATTTACAAAAAATAATTTAATAACAAACATAACAAGAGACATATAATCTTGGCAAACACTCCATACGTGATTGGTAAACAATCGCTCGTCGCCAACACTTGCGACTCAAAACAAACCAATTGCCCCAGTTTCCCACTTCTCTTTGGGTTAGACTGGGTTAGCCCTTTACACACACAAATAATATACGAAGGGGGACCCAAAAATAACCGGAAACGACCTGTTGCGCGTGCATGCTTTGTAGTTACAAGTTGTGCTGCTAGGTGGTGTTAGCTGGGGGTCTCCCGTGACTGTTAGTGAGCTGGCGTCAGTCTGAGTTAAGTGGTTTGTCTGTGGTGCTCTGTTGTGTGCGTTCCTGTTTCAACCCTTTGGCGATTAGTGAGATGGCTGACCAGAAAGAACAAAGAGCGTGCGTGAAATTTTGTTTTCTGTTAGGGAAAACTGCACTTCACTCTTCAAGTCACGGCAAACATTCACGCGGTTTTCTCTTTGGTCATCTCCGAGCAAGCGAGGAACAAATTTTGCAGACACCCGTCTCATGTGCAAAACCTTCGGTTAAAATTTGCTGGACCGTGCTCCATGAGATGTTTGTTTCCTCAGAAAGTTGGTCAATGGTCTTTTGATGATCTTCATCAATTTCACGCACTCTTTGTTCCTTCTGGTTGGCCATCTCACTAATCGCCAAAGGGTTGAAACAGGAACGCACACAACAGAGCACCACAGACAAACCACTTAACTCAGACTGACACCAGCTCATTAACAGTCGCGGGAGACCCCCCGCTAACACCACCTAGCAGCACAACTTGTAACTACAAAGCATGCGCATGCAACAGGTCGTTTCCGGTTATTTCTGGGTCCCCCCTCGTATGTCACAGATGAGGGAATTATAGATTGTATGGATCCTATCCAGGTGTCTTATAAACATGGTGGTAATGTAAATGTACTTCTTCATAGAAACAATTAACAATTATGGATTTATGTACTTTACATGCCACTATCAAAACATGCATTTAACAGTTAAATGTAATGGCTGATACACAACCATTGCTTACGTGTATAATGTCAAAAGTTGCACACACTCCAATGATGCATTTAGAACATCCCATAACACAGGGTATGCACATAATGATTGGTACAATGATACATCTGTTACTCAAGTTCATTATAACTACACACGAGTGCAGTGAAATATGGGTGGGACTTGTGAGCAGAACATGAACAATCCATGTACATGGATATGCAGAAAACAGTGGGTTGACTTTTACTCATACAGCACAGCTCCTAATTAGCAATTATTTGTGAGGAAAGGAGATTATATAATTAACTTCTAACTTCATGGCACTGAACCCTTCCTGAGAAGCCACCAGTTGTGCAGATTCTCAAGAACTTCCCAGCATTTTATGGAACCCAAGGGATCATTACCGTGTTCACAAGCGGCCTCCCCTGGTCTCTATTCGGAGTCAAATCAATTCAGTCCATACAACCTCATCTTATTTCTCTAAGATCAATTTTAATATTATCGACCCACCTATGTCTTGGTCTTCGTAGTGATCTCCTTCCTTCTGGCTTTCCCACCAAAATCCTATATGCATTCTTCTTCACTCAATTTCGTGCCACAAGATCTGCCCATGTCATCTTCCTTGACTTGATCATTCTAATTATACTTGGTGAAGGGTACGAGCTATGAAGCTCCTCATTGTGTAGTTTTCTCCAACATCCCATCACCCCACATTAGGTAGGTCCCTTGTCACCATGGCATGGCATGGCATGTCCTCAGGTTGTCGATGGAGGAAATGGCCTCCAGATATGGAGGGTAGCTGCAAATATAATGAATAAGCAGTCGCAGAGACCTAAAAAGGGGTGGTCCTCCAGTTTGGGGGTTGGGCAAGGGACTCACAACTCCTTTCCATAAAAAATAAGCTGGTTATGAAATGTCACAAAGGGCCTTGAACCTGGATGGATTCTTTGGATATAGGACCTAAGCTACAGAAAATAGACATGAGAGATTATATAAGTTTAAGAAAATCTTCAGTTCAGAAAATGCTATGATACTACTGCATTATTCATTATTTTCATGACGATCACTTTACAAAAGAAGAAATATTGCCATGGGCATATTATTATTTTTTTAGGATAGTGTGACGTGTTGCGCTATGGATGACGCTCCCCCCCCCCAGCCATGACGTGCCGAGCGGAGCCGAAGTTAGCAGAGTCCCAGCATACTGGTCGCTCTGCAACGCGAGTCAGCAGCGGTGACGAAACAGGACGCCGCAGTTACTACGTAGCGGTAAACAATTCCCAACAGTGTTGCTAGGCTATCGGCTACCAGGGCGGCAGACAACAGTATGCCGGTTACGTGGCTGTTTTCTATGCTGTCTGGAACGAGGCTAAATAAGGAGCAGTGAAGACTATTCACAGTTAGTTCCGAGTTAGCCACCAGTTAGTTACAGTTCCCAAGTTACGTGTTGAGTTACGAGCTAGCCAGCAGTGAGTAAGTCAACCAGTCAGTTGCGGTCTAGCATTCGCAGGAGTGAATGAAAGCAGTTGAAGTATTTGTGATACTGCCGTTGGCAGTAATTTTGAGCTTGTAAATTGTGTTATTGTAAGAGCGAATGTGAAATAAAATTCGCTATATCCAGTAAGTTGTGTAGTTATTTGTCATGTTATACGCCCAACATGTGACAATATTATGAGTATCCATGGCAATGATCAATAATGAACAAAACAGCATGCAGCTGATAAAATAAGCATTCACACTACAACCTTAACATTCTCCTCTGTACATGACTCAACTGTGCAAATTACTTGTCAAGATTTCAAACAATTTTATTCATCTTAAATTACACTCTAAAGCTACTTAATTTATTTTTTGTAGTATTACCTTTCCTTCAATGCAGATGCAAAGGCTCCATCACCACAACTCTCGTATCCGCAGCCTAATTTGTGAAAAAAGTGCAGAATGTGATGCACAGGTTGGCAATATGAGAGGAAATGGAACAGCACATATCACAACCCTTACACTCCATCCTAAAATACTTCAATCATTAGAAATTTTACTTATGGTGAAAATATATGTGCACTACACTTCCCTACAAGTGTAATTTTATCTCCTTCAATATGCAGTAGGATTCCTCACAAACCCACCACAGGAGGAGCTCCAGGGATCCTATGATACTGTTCAATTCTTTGTTCCCATGTTTCCTGAAATTATTAAATAATTTTTTGTTCATACACTGTACTCATCTTCATCACATGACCTGAGTGACTGTCAACACTATACAAACAGTAACAAGACTGGAAAGGGTGTGTTCTCTAATGTATTACTACAAATGGCTTCCTTGAAGTTCTTTGAACGAAGATGGAGATTTTCGCAGTGAAGCAAAAGGAATAAGCCCAAGAGCTGTGAAGCTGGGTGGACGTACAACAGGCATATCAATTGTTATACAAATACTGACAGTTGCCACATTAGAGCCTGCGCTGTTTCCTGAAAGTTAATTTAACATAAAGAGATTATTATTATTTCAGTATTATCAATTAGGAATTCAAGACTAACAAAAGACAATTCACAAGTTTCATACTGTAACGTGTTTTGTTACTGAAGACGCCGTAGAGATGGTTAATTGGTTTATTTAACAATCTACAAGTACTACAATTGCTTATTACACAGTTGCGGGGTTTCACACTTTATAACCCTAATCGCATTAATCTGTTACCACTGTTGCGGGGTTTCACACTTTATAACCCTATGCGCAAATGAGTTCACTCTGTCTTCAGTAGTCTACACGTTTACAGTAGGGGAGCTATGTATCACTGTATCACACGCTCCCAATTACACAATCACACACACGTCCGGTTCTTCTTTCCGAGACAGCTGCTATACTCCAACTGTAGTCGGCGGACTGGAGAACTGTTGATAACACACTCGCTCATAGGCTTGCTCGGAAATAAGCTCGGCGATGGCCACCTTACACCTCGACTCGGCGACTGTTACGTTACAACTAACTCGCAGCCACTGTGCAGCTCACTTATATAGTCGCAGTGCTTGCCTGTTGCATAATGAGTGCCACGTCATCCTGTTACTTCACCGCTGTTGACTCACATTGCATAGCTACCAGGTTGCGGGGGCTCGGCTAACTTCAGCTCCGCTCGTGATGTCACCGCGGGGAGAGTGGCGGGGTGATGACTTGCCTATTACGCGAGCGCTACGTTACCGCCACGTGCCGCTGGGGAGGTAGGGGTCCTTCGTTGCGCAACATGTCACAATACCATAAATATTTCCTCTAGAACACACTTTCTGATTGGATCAATTATCTTAAAGTCATACAACGCCTTCAGGAGTTGGAATGTGTTACCACAACCCACAAATAAATGCTTCTGCTTCTTCAACAGCCTGAACAGGATCTTCTGAGGTGTGGATACTGTTTACTTTGTAACCTAGAAACATAATTGTACAACACACAGAAGTTGGTTACTCCCCATCCAAGAATATGGAAGTAAACAAAATGTAATGCCATGAGAGATCTGGGGTTCACATTAAAGTTCTTCTATTCCTTTTCATATTCATTCATATTTATTTCCAATTCCATAGATCCAGAGGGGCTAGAATGCCACGGGATGTGGAACAAGTCCCTTACATGCATAGTTTCAAAAATGATTGATACCAGTCAACACAATAAATTTTCTTATACATGATCGGACAAATTACAAAAACATGCAAGATAGTCACAATATTTATACACAAAATAGTACATTTAAAAACATAAAGTTGATATTTTACAATCAAAATAATAAAAATTTACACTCATAAAATCAGCAATTTCAATACTTTAGATATATTCAAATTTCAAAATTCTTATTTATAACAATAGTATTCCTCCACAGTGTAGAAAGAGTTGGTAGTCAGGAAATTCTTTAATGTCTCTTTTAGCCTAAAGGCTAATCACCCAAAGTCACAATGTGATTTTCTTCTCTTTCCTGAGCTAAGACTTTAAAATTATAAAAAGTCTAAGTCTCCTGCTTTCTCAAGTTGCCATTCATAATCATCCTGCTTTTCCAGCCTATGCTGCTGTTTTAAAGGTATTGTCATATAAACAATAACGTAATTTCAGAACTGAAGGCATGTCTCTTTTTCTTCATTTATACACAGGTTATATAATGCAGAATGGGAGGAATCAAGGATATGGATGAGCACTGACACACCATACGGAGGTCCTTTCCTCAGGCTTCTTCTAGGGTTCTCCATTCAACCATGTGTTTAAGTTAGATTAGAAATCTCAACTATAAAAATATATTTTGATGGGCTCTGTAATTATAAAACTGGTTCTGAGAATGGTCTGGTTTACAATCCAAGTAGAAAGACTGACATTTTCAAGGGATTTACTATGTGAAAACCTAAATTGTGGAATAAATTTGGTACGTTCTTGGGTACAGTCGGTGTTATCACAGCGACGGGGGGACTTCCAAACTGGCACGTTTCCTTATTTTTAATACAAAAGTTCTAACTACATATTAAATATTGGGGCTAAGTATGCACTATGGTGTCTATGCTGAAATTGGCCTTTATTTAGTTATTTAACCTAACCTTTCTCAAATTTTTTATTTTGAGGTTTAGTCTGTAAAAAACTTATAAATTATGCACCCCAACTGGTCTCTGTATTATAAATACACAAATTAACAGTTGCAGTTACGCACGATACAATACGTATACTGGCATCACTCACCCCACTTCTCGAAGGCACCTGTAACTTTATTTGTGCATTCATCGTAATCATGTAATGCATATGGTACAAAGAGGATACGTGAAACATTGTGCCTGCAAGGATGACAAAAGCACGAGGTATTTATATGGGTATAATACATTATACTCGTATATCTAATAACACTGGTACTTGAGCAATGGACTCTTGTAATTTCAGTTACCATGTGGTCAAATGCCACAACTTACTTTTCAAAAACTTACTTATGTCATCCGTTGCATAATGAAGATACTCAGAACCATACACTACAGAGGTAGACAAAAGTAATATACGCCTTTGTTGTGTATCCATGTGGCTCTTATACGTTAGACCTGCAAACCGTAAAGCTAACAGTTCATACCGTTGATACTAACCCGATTAGTTATCGCAATGTGTATAAAACAATCACGATCGCTATCTTGCTAATCTGCACAGATAAATCAGATATTTCAGCTTATTGCCGTTACATTTACTGAGCTGGTCTGCAGCAGTTATTAAGAATATGCATTCATACTTTGAAGTACGGATGCTTACAGGAACAGCATTAATGCGATTCGATGCGATTAATGGAGGGGGAACTAGGGCATCAGGCTGACCACTCACCTCCAACTAGTGCCGAGGTCAAGAAAATGAGGGTCTATACATTCACACCCCCATACGCCTTAATGGCATAGTGCTTAATTAATTAAGCACAGGGAGAATATTACCATATATGCAAGGGTGATTCAAATGAAAACCGTAATTTTTTTTAAATTTAATTTCCTGAATGAAAGCGGTACACAACTATACCATTTTTATACATAGTCTCCATTTCATTCAATATATACCCTCCAGCATTTACAATGTTTACGCTTTCCTCTAGAAAAAAATTCTGGTGGTTGTCTGCAAAATCACTCACGCACCACCTGCTGTACTTCTTCGTCAGAATGGAACTTCTTTCCTCCCACAGACTCTTTGAGTGGCCCAAACGTGGTAATCACTTGGGGCTAGGTCTGGTGAGTGTGGCAGACGTGGAAGACACTCATAGTGCAAGTCTTGGATTGTTGCAACTGTTGCATGGGCAGCAGGAGGCCAAGCACTGTCATGTTGCAAAAGGACACCTCTGGACAAAAGTCCACATCGCTTTGATCTGACTGCAGGTCGAAGATGATTCTTCAAATGATCTGAATATGAGGCACGGGTGATAGTGTTCCCCTGGGGCATGTAGTGCTCCAAGAGTATGCCTCATTTGTCCCAAAAGAGAGTAAGCATAATCTTCCCTGCAGATGGCTGCGTCCGGAACTTCTTGGATTTTGGTGATGAGGAATGGTGCCATTCCTTGCTTGTTCTCTTTGTTTGTGGTTGGTGGTCGTGTGCCCAAGTTTCATCACCAGTAATGATTCTCGAAAGGAAGCCACCACCTTCTGCTTCAAGGCGCCAGAGAAGTTCTTTACACGTGTCAACACGTTGCTGTTTCAATTCTGGAGTCAGCTGCTGTGACACCCACCTTGCAGACACTTTGTGAAACTGGAGCACATCATGAATGACATCGTGTGCTGATCCGTGATTCATGTTACAAATTTCGGCTATTTCATCCGACACTTGGTGATTCTCCATCACTAGAGCTTAAACTGCTGCAACAGACTCAGGGGTCACAACTCTGCGCGCATGACCCAAGCATCAGACGTCACACCATTTCTGAATTTCCTACTCCACTTGTACACTTGCTGCTGTGACAAGCATGCATCGCCATACCGAACCTTCATCTGTCGATGAACTTCAATCGGTTTCACACCTTCACTGATCAAAAACCAAATTACAGAATGTTGTTGTTCTTTCATGCATGTATCTATTGCAGCAGCCATCTTCAAACCGGCACTGTGATCAGGGTGATGCAACTCAAAGTTGCCTTGTGCTTAACTAATTAACTATGCCATGAAGGTGTATGGAGAGTGGATGTATACACCCACGTATTCTTGACCTCGGCACTAGTTTGAGTTGAGTTATCAGCTTCATGCCCAGGCAACTTTACCCCAGGGGAACACCCTCAGTACCCATTGGATAGGAGGTTGAGTGGGCCCTAGAGACGGTCTGGACGACTTGAAGAAGAGAAAATTCTTGACACTACCGGGACTCAAACTCCAGCCAGCAGCCAGTTGCTGTACTGTAAAAATATGTAAGTCCATCAAAATCTTTTAGATACAATTTTTCAGTCACAATACTTCCTCATACATATTACAATATGAGATAGCAAAAATTAAACTGCAATTCATGGCCCCTTAAATCTTGATCAAATTGTTTAAATTCACTGTATCTGCATGATACAAGACCAATGAATTTAAATTTTACCATCAAGAGAAGTTAGAGACAATTAATTATACTACAAACTCCTGGTTATCTGCTACCTAAGCTTCTGGAATTCTCATCTGAATGATAAACATTTCAAAGAAAATTTACCATTTTTATAAAACTAATCAAAAACAGATTCCCACCTGCCCTACAGTAGTTTTCCCAGCTAACACTTGCAGCACTAGTGTTATCCACCATCACACAGATGTTATTACAGCAGAAGCCAACTGAATTATTTTAACTCATTGTAATGAAGGCCAGTTCAATCTGTGAACTCATAAGAGTACATGTATCCAAATTCTTTCACCAATCAACCTGCTGTGTCACCTAGAAGGTACCAATGCAACAACTAAAGTGAAAACGTCCATTTTCATATCATACTGGGGATCTATGCAACTGAGAAATCCATGTAATCAATACACCACATTCCCCAAATAAGTTGGATTTCGGTGCGGTTGCTGTACAATCTATTCAATTGGGGGGGGGGGGGGGGATGATTTTAGTCCGCAAGAGAGCTATACCGACCGAGCGACCGCCACTTGTCGGCGAAGTTTAGTGCCAATTTTTGCGGATAGAGGGTGTCACGTGGTCAGTGCAACGAATCCTCACGGCCGTTTTTCTTTCGGTTTTTTAGACCGGAGCCGCTACTTCCTTGAAACAGCTCCTCAATTATCATCACGAGGCTGAGTGAACCACATTCCAGACTCATTAATTCTCAGAAAAAAATTCTGGTAGCTCCGAGAATCGAACCTGGACCTCTGGATACAAACAGCTAATTTTATTTTTTGTTCCTTTCCATAAACCAAAGTTTGTAGTGCATATACCAATACTTGCAAAAGACAGTAACCAATCAGAGTAACAACACTGAGAATGAAATCAAAACATTTCAAGTTGCATTTATTTCTTTAGGGTGTCATTCATTCTTTTTGTCTTCAACTTCTGTGCTTATTTTTTGTGTTTCTGAAAATTGGTCCTGGTAAAATGTGTTGTTGTGTATCAACATAACAAAAGTCACTCATACATGGAGCTGAGCACTTCTTGAGAAGCTGATATGTTAGGTGGGTTCCTTGTCACCATGACATGGCACATCCTCAGGTTGCGAATGGAGGAGACACCCTCCAGGTATGGATAGCTGCAAATATATTGGATAAGCAGTCACGGACAGCCAACAAGGTGTGATCCTCCAGCTTTGGGGTTGGGCATGGGGCTAACAACTCCTCACCATAAAAATAAGCTTGTTATGAAAATTTGCAAGAAGCATTTGACCTGGATGGATTCCTTGATAATGAAAGTATTAGTTGAAAACATGCTTATGTAAAAGATTTGTTTAGGTTCAAAATTACCTCCAACAAGATTTCTTCCAGAGAATTAGGGCCAGAAAACAAGATCAGAATGAAAATATTCTTCACCATAACCAAAATATATATATACATACAGGGTGTCCCAGGAGGAATGTGCCAAACTTTGGGAGGGTGTTCCTTGTGTTAAAGTATGCCGATATAACGAAAACACCTACGTCGAAAGTTGAACGGTTACGGAGATAATGGCCAGGGAAGTGTGAAACTTTGACAGGTGTTACACACTTGTTGATTACCAAATACATATTAAAACTGGCAGGAATATGTGGTTTCTGTAACGTTAATAATGTACATAACATCAAACTAACTTATGGGTGACATGAAGCCATTAAATTGGACCTCAAAAATACTCGCACGCCATGTCATAGTTGTCCTAAGGGTGTCAAGGACTATACATGACACATGAATGGCAAGTGCTGACGTAACATGGCTGACTGCGTATTCTGGTAAAAGCTGACTACATTAACTGTACTAAACATACGATCACAGAAAATCTCTTTTGGGATTTCTTTACCATTATCTCATGTGGATTTTTATGGAACCATGTATGCACATTTTGTAAATTATTTACACCGTCCCGGGTAAAAGATGCCTCATCACTGAATAAAATGACGCTTAACAGTTCGGGATGAGCTTCTATCCAGTGGCACAAATCCATACGCTGAGCATGGTCGCCTGCTTCCAGATGTTGTACCCTTTGATCATGGTAAAGATACAACTCTTCATCATGTAAAGTTCACCACACCTGCATATGTGATACGCTGATACGAGAGGCAATTCCACGAGTGGATAGACATGGACTTCTCTGAACCATCTCAAGAATGTTCTCTCATGTGTTTATCATTCAAACATCCACCCTTTCAGAATGCACAGAAACACTCGGAAGAGAACCAGTATCGCGCGTCTGGTGAATTCACGTAAATACACTTCGACATGTAATCCTTCGATCGGGAAAATGCCTTTGGTATTCTACAACAGCAGCACGTGCATTGCCACCGCAAAATCCACACACAAAATGCATATCACAATATTCCACGTTTGAAAACATAAAAGGCATTTCAGCAACTCCACACAATTAACCTCCCACCCATTCAAAACGCGGCCGCAACATATACTGAAGGGAGCTTATGGCTAGTGTGAATCACAGCACTCAAGGACAAACTCAGATAAGACATGCCAGCTGATAGGTACAGTGCGCGGACCCGCCAGAAGACCACGCTTTTCTCGGGCCATTATCTCTGTAACCATTCAACTTTGGACATAGGTGTTTTGGGTTATATCGGAATACTCTA